CTGCGTGCGGCCGAATCTGGGAACTCCGGGTCTCCGCTGCGGAATAGATGAATCGATCCCCTGGCCGGGGTTAGACCCCACGGGAGGAAGGGAGCGGAGTGTGTGTGCTTAGCGACACCCGCATTGACGCAGTCTGGAGCCTAGAAGTGCGTCAGCTGTCGCTCTGGCAACGGGCTGAACGTCACAGACGGGCAGTGCGTCAGCAGCCTCCTGACGTCACGCCCCGAGAGAGGCAATTGACGTAAGGCGGGGCGGATTCCAAGCCAGGCCGGCAGGGGGAGCCCCAGGTTGCTAATGGTGGATGCCTTTGTCTTGGTCCTGCAGGAGGCGCTGGCTCGGGCCGGCATGGTCCCCGCAGCCAATATGGAGCACTAGGTTGGCGGGATGAAGAGGAGTCGCAGTGTCCTATCCGTGGACGAGGTGTGAGGGGCGGGGCCAGGCTGGGGGCGGGGTTTGGGCCGCACGAGTGGGGGGGACGGGCGCCCTCTAGTGACCACAGCTGTTCACTAAGTGGTCGCGAGGAGTCAAGACTCCTCGTGCCTCAGTTTACTCCCTTGATTCCATTATTCTCCTGCTGCCAGGATTGAGTCCCTCTGCCCAAGGGCAGAAGGCAGGGGCTTCCAAGGGGCTTCTGAAGTCGGAAAGGATTGTGGGTGGAGTTGTGGGTGAGTTCTTGTGGGTCTCAGATGTGAGAGGGCCCACAGACATTAAGACCAAGAGGGGGCTGCTTAGACGTGGAAGGTGGGAAGAGATCCTAAAAAGGGGATGTGTTCGAGGGAGCTCATGTGAGGGACAGGGTACAGTCATGAGGGCCCAGAGCCACCGGGCTGAAACTTCAAGAGGGACCCCCACAAAAATTGTGACTGAGAAGGGGAATCCCTCAGAAGTAAGGGATGGGAAGGCATCTTCTGTGGGAGGGATCAGCGAGGGGCTCCGATTGAGTGGAGGACACAGGAGCCTATACCCCCCTGAAGCTCTCCCAGATGGCGAGGGAGGGGCAATATTGTGGGGAGGGGCTCACAGCTAGCTGCCTGGCCAGGCGCTGCACCCATCCCGCCTTTGTCCCTTCTTAGAGGCCGGGGGAGACCCCTGAACCCAGCCATACGAACATGCTGGGGGCCGACCTCCTACGACGCCCTCGCCGTCGCCTCTCCACTGGTCCTGGCCTGGGCTGGGCGGACCCTGAGCTCTGGGACCCTGGGGTCCCTGTGCTCCCACGGCCCACCACGCTGCCACTTCTGATCCCTCCACGGATTTCCATCACCAGAGCCGGCAGGTAGGCAGGAGGGGGAGCAGGCTGGAAGGTAGGGTGGGGGAACAGGGCGAGCTGGGCTAGGTCCAGCCAGCAGCCCTTTCTTCTGCTCCAGGCTCCCTGCCTTTTGCAAAATCAGCTGAACCGTCTCCTGGCGTCTGGTGGGTCAGGCTGTGACACCCCTCCCCCACGGTGCCCCATTACAGCCTCCAGAAAACCCTTCTTCCATTTTGCAGCTGCCTGAGTCAGCAAGGGTTTCGGAAAGGGCTTTCAGCCCTAGTTCCCAATGGTGCCCCCACATTCAGAGAGCTGGGCCAGGCCATGGAGCAAGCCTCTGATCAGTCTTCTGTGCACCTCTATTTACCCTTCTAGGAAGATTCTGTTTCTTCCAGAACTTGAAGGGGAAGGTGGGATCCTGGAGGAGGTCTGGCTTGGCATTTTTCTTTCCCTTGGGGAGATGTGAGAGGTATCTTCAAAACTTTGCATTGCACTTTCTTGCTGTTTCTCATGGGGGTCCTCCCAGGGCACTCCAACCCCCATTTTGGCACAAGGATGAGTTCAAAAGCCGGACAGCTGAGCTGGTCCTGGCTGCTTTCCGGCCCCTGTCCCCACTGCCCTCCCAGGCCAGTGTTCTGCAGCCTTGATCTCCCTACCCCTTTCATCTACTCAGTTGGAAGGTTTGGGAGACTCTGCTTGGAGAATGGTACAAAGGCTCATTGACAAGAGGGAGGAAGAAGTGACTGTCATTCCCACCTGGGGTGGTCTATTGTACCGCCCCCCACCCACCCCAATCCCTCTCACCTCTACACTTTAGGAGGCTGATCCACCTCAGCCTCAGGCTACAACTCCAACTACAGCCTGGCCTATTGCCTCCAGAGCTCCGACCCCATTCCCCAAACTTCGGCCCAGCCCAGGAGTCTCAATTGATCTTGGAAGGACCAGCAGCCCTTGCAAATCCCCTAGAGGCCTTTTGAGTGTATACTTGCGGGAGGGTCACTGAGGGGAGTGGGAGACACACTCTGACCTTTGGGATACCCCACTGATGCCGATGGGGAGCCGGTTCTTGCTCCACCGTCGCCCACGCCTGGAGCCCCCTCTGCTGGGGAGAAAAATGGCTGTGGAGGTTGGAGACGGGCTTTTTTTTTTTTTTTAATATAAGAACAGTGCGGGGGGGGGGGGGGTGAAACACGCACAGACAGCCTGGAGGAGCCCGGGAGGGGGGCTCACGGGGGACAAGGGTCTGCTTTCACGGACTCGCACCTAAGTCGGTTAACGTGTGAGTGCCTCTGCCAGGCGGGTGGGGCAGCGGGGTCCCCCTGCGGGGCTGCCACCAGGGCTCGGCAAGGGCCTGCCAGGGCGGGGTAAGGGGGGACGCTTGGATCCCGCTTGCTCTCAGCTCAAGCTCGCTCGCTCGGCGCGGCGCTTGGGGAGGCGGGAGCGTGAGTCACGGAGACTCCCGATTTAGGTGCCGGAAGGGGGGCTCTGCCGGCGGGGGGCCGCGGGGAGGAGCTTGGCTGTTTACTCGCCTGAAAAGAGCATGGGGGTGCGTTCCGCGGCTTCTGGAGACCTGCCTCAGTTTACCTCCTGCAGATGCGCTTTAAAAGAGGCAGCGGAACTTAGAGCGGTGGGCGGGCAGCCGGGGTATTGGCCACAGGATGTCCTCCTGGAGCCACACGGGAACCAAAGACACACATTAGAAACACCCCAAAGCGGCCCCAGGCCAACCACACACACACACACACACACACACACACACACACACACACACGGACTCTCTCAGACACGACAGTCAAACAACGGAGGCTGAATCCCGTGCACAACTCCGCGAGCACCGCACACACCCGAAGGCGTGGGAGCACATGCAGAACCCCAGGCCACCGGGACGGACCGCGCACTTTCCAGCAGGCAGCACATGTGTGCGCACAGCCTTCACCCACAGACACTCAGATACACACACAGAGAAATCCAGAGAAACAGGCAGCCCGCGGCAGCCAACCACGTGCGCACACACACTTCCAAGACACCCAAAACACAGACAAACCTCGGAAGGGGCCGCATGCCTGCACATCCCGCCCCGGGCACACGCCATCCCCATCCTCCGACCCACCGACAGGAGATCCCCCGCACACCGCCGCTGCCCGCCGCAGGGACCGCGTCTGTGGCACCGGGGCCACTTCCCACTCGTTTGGGCCCCCGGCCAGGGGTAGCGGCGAGGACACGCCAGCACCGGGCTCCGCCCCGCCAAGATGGACGGACTGACTGACGCACCAGCAACCACTCGGATGTCTTCCCGATCGGATTAACCGTTTAACTCCTTCCTGCCGGTGCGCGCCGCTGCTAGGCTGGGCACTCTGGAGAGAAC